TTTGGTATTAGATAATATACGCACACCAAGCTTTCTCACCTAAAACCCTACCAAATCCTCTAATTAATATCTCCTGCCTTTATAATATAGTTTATGATGAAATATCCAGCCTTTCCTTTATACCACTTACCTTCTAGAACTGAAAAAGGGTTTGATGTTTTCAGTGTATAAAATTATCAAAGCTTTTAGTCTTCATATTATTTATTAACTTTTAGTTATTAAATTGAGAAATACCACTTACTTTTAATCTTAACAAGAAACTAAAATCTTGCTGTTTTTTAACAGATAAAATAAATAAGATCACATATTTTACCATTAAACATACAAATATATGTTTTCTACAGAAATTAAAATTAAAGGTTGCAATCTGAGATTATTATAAAAGAATAAGACGGTATTAATTAGGAGCAATTAGAGGAAAAGATATTAATTGAGTTGGTTTGTCTTATTATATATTTTCTTTGGTCCCGCATATTAATCGAATTGGGCCACGCTTTTGTCTTCACCAGAGTCCTTTCTATTTATTCATTTAGTAGTATTAAATTCATAATTAATAAATAATTTTACACATAAAATTATATTATGATTAAAATTCAAAATAATAAAATACTTACAAAAAAATATATATAGTGCAAGATCGAAAAGGAATTGATAGGACTGACCCCAAGGGAAAAATGTTTATATCCTGCTTCAACAAATATAGAAATTTAATGTGCAACACATGGCTAGTTAGTTGGCCATGTTTATTATTTTGTTAGGTTGGCTCATTAATTGATTAATAATACATCATACTTTATGTTGTATCACTATAAACAGTAAACATATATATTGTCAGTTGATATTTTTAAAATGAGAAAATAAAATGAAAATGAAAGTTACGTTAGACAGTTATTTCATTACATTTTACTTTTTTTTCTTTATAAATATAAAAGTTTATTTTCTTATAATCATTTAGATAATAAGTGTTCTATGGTTGTCAAATGATGTCACAGAAAAGGAAGTTTAGAAATGGGCTTTTGCTTTTTCCACCCCCATAATTCTATCCGCAACCCGTTCCAACAGTCAAAAAGACTAAAATACCCTACCTGCACCATGTTGCCGTTGCAGCCATTATCGACTCTCATTCTTCTTCTTTGCTGACCTCTGTTGCCCTAGCCGCTTAAAAAAAAACTTATTCAGAAAAAGAAGCTTCTTCCCGCACCTTTTTTTCTTCTTACACCCCTTACAAAATTCGTAAACCTCGGATTATCTTTAATTAAAATTGTAATACAAAGTAAGAATGATCTCTATATAATGTATGTATTTCGGACTTTTCCAAAATATCAAGGTTAAATGTGGAGGGAGAGGCAATTACGCATGGAAAACGAAAGAAGGGTGAAGAATTTATCATTAAGGGTTTTTAATATGATTTTATTGAAGGGTATATCAGGTTTTCCCGTAAGTGCAGGGAGAAAAATAGATGGTGTAGAAAGAAGTAGCCCACACAAAATTGCAAGAATCAAATCAAACCTTAGCAATATCAAATAAGCTCTTACTTTCGGCACACCCACAAGTTCTTAGCACATTCCTCAAATTTATAAAACGGTCATTTTATCCTTTATAAAAGTGATTTTCGAATCATACGTTCATGAAACTTTTCGAAACGAGTTTTTCAAAATTTTCAGAATAAAATTTTTAAAATTAGAATTTTCGACGCATAAAATGCATTTCAGAATAAGTTTTCTATTGGAATAAAATTTTCTGAACCTATATAATACTAATGTTGTTAAAATAGTTTGGAATTAGAGAGTTAACTTCGCTCATAGGTTAGATTGGCTTGAAAATATTTTAAAGTTGGTTTAATGTTTCGGTATGTCCTTATTTTCGTCAAGAATTTTAAATAGATTTTTTTTTTCAACGTCTCAATTGGGTTCTTACTTTTGTAAAATTGAATTAAACAGACCTTTACCGTTAAATTAAGAAGACGGCGTCAATGAGAGTGTTACATAAGGAATAAGGATGACAACAGAGCGGGGCGGGCACGGGTAGTGCCTACCCGCAACACAACCCGCCGGATAAAACTGTACCCGCTACCCGCGCGGATACCTGTTTAAAAAATATCTGCGAGTATTTTAAAATCCGCGGATACTAGCAAAAAATAAAAAAATATATTTAATACATTTTTAAAATAAAATTTAAATCAAATTACAAAAAATATATATGATATAATATAAATTAAATTAAATAATAATTAAATTTTAATTTTAATTAAATTTAACCTAATAAAATATAATTTTATTTTATTTTTAATTAAATTTAATTAAAAGATATATAAATTATTACTTTTTTAAAATTTTTTGTGGGTAACGGATACCCGTACCCGACCCGTTTAGAAGCGGGTATTAAAATACCCGCTACCCGTTACCCGCGGATAGTAACTACCGGCCTCGGAATTTACCTCCGGATACTCGTTAGTGTTACATGGCATGCTGACAGTGTCTTTTTAAATAATGTGGCATTAAAAATGTGTGTGAAGTGTATTTTTTAATTTTTGAATTAAAAAATGGAGTGCAAAGAGGGGAAATAAAATTTAAATAAGGGCAAAGTAGTCATCTCATTTCATAGAACACATGAAAAGGTCCAAAAGCACTACCAGCACCAAACATTGCTCTTGGAATGTCATCCTTCATCTTCTCGGTAACTAAGTCACGCTTCCATGGTAGTCACCTTAGACAGAACTGTAACCAAACATTGCTCTTGGAATGTCATCCTTCATCTTCTCCGGTAACTAAATCACGCTTCCATGGCAGCCACCATAGACAGAAGTACAAATTGTATAAACTCAATTGCAAGTTTGCCCAACATTTTCACCACTGCGAGACAAATCCAGAACCTATGAAAACTCACAAATCAAAAACCAGTAAAACCCTTAATCACGAAAACCCTAACTCGCACAGATGTTCAACCCTAAATTGGCGAACCTTAATCGCGAGTTTCTCCACGTCATCGAACCACCACAGCTCCTCCATGTAAGCCACCGTAAACAATGCGTCTCGCGCCTTTATCTTCTTCGCACTTCCAATGGAACCTTCAAAACCAAAAACCCAAGACAAACCTGCAGTTTCGCAAAACCCATAATCACCCAAATCAATCACCACAAATTTGCCTCACGATGAACGCGAAGTGGAGAGTAAGATGACAACTGAGTAATTAGAGTGCAGAATGAGATGATCAGTGTGAAGGCAAAGTGGAGAGGAAAGTAAGAAATGGGAAAGTCTCCAATGGAACTTTAGGGAAGAAGCCTAACCTGTGAAAGAAGAAGCTCTACGGTGGGTGGCGACCCTAACTGTGAGACTCTAAATTTTTTAATTTTAAAATAATCCAAATCCATATCATTCAGCCACGTCAATTAAAAATATAGTCTAGAGTGTCACGTCAAATATACATTAACGTCGTTAGGTTCAATTTTACAGTAAGGGTCTATTTGATTCAATTTTACAAAAACAAGGATGCAACTGAGACGCAAAAAAAAAGAAACCTATTTGAGATTCTTGACGAAAATAAAGACTCTTTAAAATTTTAATAAGAATTAATTTTAAATCCATTAAGTTGTGGTGGTCCGGTTCAATTTTTTATTCATTAATAAATGAATAAATTCTAAAATATATTTTTTAAACACATAAAATGTTTTGAAACACTTTTGATTGGGTAGGAAGTGAAGGAAAGTAGTTTTGTCCGTGAGTTTGTTAACCTAAAGTCTTCATTTTCTTTTGGTTAACACCTTCAACTACCATCTCAAGCCAAATCCATTTAAAGAATAAAAGAACCTACCTAAGATTGTTATGTTTATACTTACAAAAATAAAAATATAACATTTGTGTTTTTTTTCCACTTTTATTGCAAAATAAATGAGAATAAAATTGTTATCATCATTAAAGAACATGTTCTTCAATCCCTTTAAAAATCCATTAATTTTTTTTAAGAATCCTTTTCTGTTTAAAAGTCAAAGCCCGTTGCTTAAAATTCGCAAATTAGTTAGTTAAATGCATCACCAAGTACCAACGTCACTTCCTATATTGATTTGGTGCGTTTTGTCTTTTTATTATTTGTGTTATTATATGTTAATGTTTTTTTAACTGAATTGCAAGTGCTCTTCACGTCCTTTCAAAGCGCTTAATTATGACAAATGTTGAGACATTTTTTGAACAAACCCTATCTTATTCTTCTTCTCTCTTTTACCCACTCATAAACTATTCATTAATTAGGTCAAATTCACCAAAATAAGAAACAATAGTTTTATGTATGTTTGTATGGAAAATCTTTTAATGAGATGCTCATCAATCCACTTTGCACCAAAAATAGTTACACCCACCAACTCTCTTTTCCCAAAAAAATTGGCACATCAACTTTGCATTTTAATACAAAAAACCACAAAATTAGCCATCATGCTTTTGCACCAAACAATTACCATTTTAGCTAAAAACACATTCATAATTATATATAATTCATCTTTTTATAAGTTAGTTTAACTTTTACTTATTTATTTCAATTATCTTATAAATATATCAATAATAAGTAATAGTACAGTGACACACATTTCTATTCCTTTGACACACTTCAGAAAGATCAAATAATCATAAAATAATGAATTTTTTCATTTGAAAAAAAAAAAATAAATAAAATAGTAACAAATAAATATAAAAAATTTGTATGAGTTCAAATATCATTTATCTCTTGAATGAGTAACGCTACTGTAACATTTATTTGATACATATTATAAAATAGTTATAAAAAAAATGAATTTTTCTATTTTTTTAAAAAAATGATTCAAACGTCATTATATAAAAAAAAAAAATTTTTCACACGTATTTTTTTTACAATATTTTAACACGTAATTTAAACTCCTAAAAAAAGAGTTAAGTGTGAAAATATACTAAAATAAAAGCAACAGAAGTTTGTTGATTAAACATTAATGAAAAGAAAAAAAAAATATTTATGGTTTTGACTCGTTTAAAGCACAGGCCACGTTTGAGACGTGTGCAACGCTCCAGCGTATAAAAATGCGCATGGTGAGGTGAAGTACAACTGCAAACCCAGCCCAACGCCACGACGGCACAGAATAAAACAGTTAAAACGGAAACAGAAGTCGCCGGCGGAGAAAAGTATATCGTTTTCCGGCAACGAAATGGTGAGGTCCGCCGACGGTTACGTTATGGGAGTGGATGAGTCGTATAGCTCGCTGCCGTGGCTGTACTTGATGTTCCTGTCGATCTGGTTCGTCTCTGCTTGCTCTTGGACCTTTTACACCTACAAAACGCGCCACACTCAGGTTTTGACGTTAAGCTATGTTTCGTTATCGTTGTTGAGTTTGATCTTTTAATCGAATATATACAACGCGAGGAAATTAAATGAACTTTTGCGAACATATTTATTTATTATTGTCTGAGTGAAGTCGATGAGGAATTTTTACTTTATCAACATGTGATTTTAATTGAAAGCTCTATGATAATTAATTGTTTTCGTAGTACTGTTAACTTGAGTTTTGAATAAGCATTAGTGTTTTAAAGGTGGTTATTTTTTGGTTGCGTGACTGCTTTGTTTTGTGATGTTGTTTTTGTTAGAGCAGTGGAATAATTTGCAGTGGACACTTGCTTCGGTTCCGTTGATTAAAGCATTGCAGCTCATGCTGTCCTTCCTCTTCTGGTAGGTTTTTGCACTTTTATCTTTTTCTTTTTGCTTGTTTAATGTTGCAAATGGTTTCTAGCATTTTATATTTGATTTGGCTGTAAACCAAGTGTAGTTTGTCTGGAAAAGTAGGTCATTCTTTGCCTCTGTAATAGCTCATTAGTAAGGAGTCGAAATAAGTGTACTATTGGAGGAAAGACAAGGATACCAAATTTTCAGTTCTACGAATAAACATTCCATATATTTGAGAATCAAAAACTTCAATATTTGAATGGAACTTTAAATTTTTTGAAACAAAAAGATTATCTCTCCATCTTGATTCAGCATTCAAAACCTTAATACCTAAGATTCTATAGGTCTTTCCTCTTATATATTCATCTTTCTACTTTCTCACCCACCTTTGATTTTACAGTTGGGTTCTTGATAATTTAATTTCCAACATATCAGATTCTATGGAAGAGTACTGTGCTTGGAGAATACTAGTCAGACAAGATCGCGGAGTAATACGGCCTTATTTGTTCTAAGCATGACTATATATTGATAGAGTATTTGTAAGTGAAGATGTAAACAAGGCAAATAATTGTTCTAAATTTAGATACATTAGAAACGAATCTTGCAATCGTTCTCATGCACAAGAACAACTCTGTATTGGTTGAAAATTATGGGAATGCTTGTACACATTCTTTTGCATATAAGCTCCGCGATTGGTCCTGTACAAAGGTTATGTCAAGCAGGCACGGGACAAAGCTCAAACTAATCCCCAATTTTGAAATGTATGCGTGGGGTTGTCGTCTATAATGGAGAATCTCGTTTGTGTTAAAGAATCAATTACATACATCATAAAGTAGTTCAATTTCAGAAGGATGGTTTATGATATCGTCAAGTAATCTCAAGTATATAAATTTTACACAGCGTGTTTGGTACATACTTTCTGCAACAACAGAGAAGCTACCAAATGTAACTTTCATTAACCATTTTGACATGTTTTTTTTTTTTTTGCCTTTATACCATGTATCAAAACACACTGACATTCTACATACTGTAAACAGACATATTGCCTAGCTTTACGGTTTCGCTTAGTAAATAGTTTGTTATTTTTCCTTTGTTATTTTGCAGTTAGTTTGTTAGTAGTTATTAGCTCTCTGTATCTGGCAGTGAGAGTTATGTTTGGCCATCTATATAATGCTACTTGTAATTGATCACTGTGATAAATATACAGAATGCTGTGTTCTTTTATTTTTTTCATTTAACTGTCTAGAGTTTTAACATACATTTTTAATGTGAGACTGGACAATGCATGGCAAGCTTTGAAGTTTGTTTGACAACACGGTATAGAAGTGTGAAATTGTATGGTTGTTGTACTAAAAATTTACTTCATTGAATCTCATGACACTATTCTTGCAGGTATTCTTGCTTCAATTTTCAGGCCTGCTCTTTGTGGATGTCATTTGGGGTGTATGTAACGGGGGTGCTATTTCAGACAGCTGCTTTTGTCTGCTTTTTACTCATTTCTCATGGTTACTGCATCATGTGCGAGCGTCTTTCTTTAACTGAACGCCGTTCAACTGCCGCACTTGCTTGTATCTTTTACTTGACTCTGATTGGGTACAAGGCTTGTGTGCCATACTTCTCTGTAAGTTTCTTATCTGGTCTAATATAATGTAGTTTAATTGGTTAAACATCTATATTGGTGATTTATAAGATGTATGCATGATTCATTGATGCTAATTCATAATTTGACTAAATGTGCAGGTTCTTTTGCTATTAAACTATTTTGTTACATTCTATATAATATTCCACCATATATCCCAAAACCTACTAGTGCTACGAGAACAATTGAGCCTTATAGAAAACGAGGATATTCAACCAATGTATGATGCCGTGTATAAGAAGTACACAATATTCAAGTAATTTCCACACATCTGAGAAGTGTACATGTGTAATTTCTTCCCATTTGCATACATATATCTCACCCATGCAAACAATAACTTATACTTAATTGTTTCCATATTTTTCATCGTGCAGGAAATTTCAGGGTGCAATGCAGATAGTAGCTACAGCAGAAACTGTGGTATTATACTTGGGTTGAGTTTCTCTTTATAAACTTACACAGTGATATATATAAATATCTAACTTTGACAATCTCATCAATTTTAGATATATATGAACATGAATGACTCTTCAGAGAATTACTGGCTTCGTTTATTGCTCAGGGAATGGGCACAATTCTGCATCTTTGTTTACATTGGGTATGCATATCTGTTTTCCTGTACAATTACCCTGAATTCTCGAACTTTATAAAATTTATCCAAAAATGCAATGCATTATAATTTTTGTCTTAGTATATGATCTTTTTTCTATTCTGCAAAAGCTATTAATCTATTCCTTTATATACAGATGGATTTTCAGGTCACATGATTTGGCACCAAACTTCTCTGTCATGCCAATCACTAAGTGTAAAGGCGATACTCTGGTTCCTCCCATCTATAGTATTGTAAGTTTTTCTTTTTCATTAGTAGATCAAGATTTCAAACTACATACAGTAAAGTATAGTAATAATAAATCAGTTGTAAATGACGTTTATAGTGTAGCACCGTTTTAGGATTGGAGCTCCTACTTGTCATTTAGACAAGTTTAGTGTGTTACCTACATAAGGTTGGGTGGAAAAGAGCGAGAGAGAAGAGAGAAGCTTGAAATTTGATATAAAGGAAAAGACTATGGTTGGTTCACATTAGATAAATTAAAAATAATACTTTTTGAAACTATTAAAAAATATATATTCACCTTATAACCATTATTATAATATATATATATATATATATATATATATATATTATTTAAGTTTTCGTGTGATATATTTCATTTGATGAGTGTTAAAATATCATTAGCCTCAGTAAATACATAATATGAAACTAGGTTAGTAGAATAGAAAATTATGGAAATTAAAGAAATATAAATACAAAGAAATAGAAAACAAACTACTAAAAATAGGTGAGAAATTATTGAATATCAACCATTTATTTTTTAAACTAGTTTTCTCTTCATTCTCTCCCGCCAAATATCCTAATTTTATTCCTCCTCCATCCTCACAACAATCAAACAAAAGTAAAAGTTATTTTTTTTCTCTTTTTCGATTATTATTTTCTATCTAACAAAAAATATCATTTTCTTAGTTTTCTTCCTCTAATAAAAAAAAAATCTAGAGTTCATTCGCATATGCAGATAATTAAATAATTAGTCTAGTGTTTATGTAGTTACAGAATACTATATTCTGTTTTCTGANATATATATATATATATATATATATATATATTATTTAAGTTTTCGTGTGATATATTTCATTTGATGAGTGTTAAAATATCATTAGCCTCAGTAAATACATAATATGAAACTAGGTTAGTAGAATAGAAAATTATGGAAATTAAAGAAATATAAATACAAAGAAATAGAAAACAAACTACTAAAAATAGGTGAGAAATTATTGAATATCAACCATTTATTTTTTAAACTAGTTTTCTCTTCATTCTCTCCCGCCAAATATCCTAATTTTATTCCTCCTCCATCCTCACAACAATCAAACAAAAGTAAAAGTTATTTTTTTTCTCTTTTTCGATTATTATTTTCTATCTAACAAAAAATATCATTTTCTTAGTTTTCTTCCTCTAATAAAAAAAAAATCTAGAGTTCATTCGCATATGCAGATAATTAAATAATTAGTCTAGTGTTTATGTAGTTACAGAATACTATATTCTGTTTTCTGACTACTCAAAACACCTTGGTGCAGGAAATGGATGCAGCAACTTTTAAAGACTTTAGTAGTCATGAATGGCACATTGGAGTGGTAAGTATTATAAACTTGTCATCATGTTCTATTATTTGGTTGACTGTGCAGTATGGTATGTTGCATAATAAAATATCATCCCATAAATTCATATAAGCTTTCGGTAATTTTTATTTTTAATCTTTCGATAACTTATATTACATTCTTAAAAAATTCCTTTATTATCTTTTACGTATACATTCTTTATGAACACTAGATAACTGAAATCGTTCATTTTCTGTCTGTGCAGCCAACTTCTGCTTCTCATGTGGAAAGTTCCAAAAATGATGTTTTGGTAATCATTCAGCATCCTCGAGCACAGAGGCTAAGAAATATCGATACTTTTTCGCATAGCGCCCTCAGTACAAATTCATCTCCATGTCGAAACGTAACGAATACTGCTACATAATCAATTATATCTGCTTCCCATGTCTATGCCTTTTCCCTTGCAGATGACATGGTCATGATTATATATTTAATTATGACACCCTCAATTTTTCTTGAGAATCCAGAGTTAAGCGCATACATATTCGTTTTAGCTCGTTTCCACGAGTAAAGAAAGAGGTTAGAGACTAGAGTTATCTGCAAACATGTAATAATACATTGTCAATGCATTGATAAATGTAAATATTCCTCTTTATTATGGTGTTAGTTTTTTTCATTTTCATTAACAGTTGTCAAAGGGCCTAGGACACTAAGCTTAATTCTCATGGTGAGTTGGTGAACTAATTTGCCTAGGGCGGTTGGGGGCTTATATTGAAAATCAAATTTGCTTTATCTCTTTCGCATTTAATTTCATTAACTACATTCAAGGTGCCCACTAAGTTGGTATTTTAAAGTCAATGTCTTTTTGGTTGTGTAAAATCTATGATAAATGATAAATTTTTGGTTGTGTAAAATCTATGATAAATGATAAATTTGATTCCAAACATGTATATATAGTTGATAGTTTCGTCCCTGAACGAAGAAACATGTAAAATCTGTCTAAAAAATAGACGAGTTTTTGACAAATTCATTATAGTGTTAGGTCGATAAAGGTTTTTATAGGTGACACGATGAGATGTGACAATTCGATTGTGGCAAATATTGACCATGTTAGGTATCATTTCACAAGATTATGTTGTCACTGTATAAGGTTTTTCTTTTACAATTTTAATAACTTTCAGGACAAAATTACCATTTACACCCCACTCCCTAAAATATAGATGACCTTTTTCCTTTATTGCTCTGCAAACAAAGACTCAGTATAATGACTCCTTCACAGCCACATGCTTAATGACAATCAATGTCACAAGTTACTGTAAAAAGTTAATAATTTTTTTTTATTATTATTGAATTGAATGTTTTGGTGTATGCAACAATAATAGATATTGTGTTCGTTTTGCCATTTTTTTATGTGAGAATCCTGATTACTTATTTTTTATTGTCCATTATTTGAGAACAAAAAGAGGACTAGAAAAAAAAGATTACTTTCTTTTATTGCCCATTTTTACATTTAAGGAAAGAAAAAAAATCATTGATGAAGTTAAGATAAAAAAAAGACTATATATGTTTTTATCTCTTAATTTTTAGTTAAAATTAAAATTTTCTCTCTTCAAAAATATTGTCTAATTTAATGATCAAATTTTAAAAATACATTAATTTTATTTTTTAATCAAATTTTATTAATTTTATTTTTTTAATCAAATTTTATTAATTTTATTTTTTTAATCAAATTTTATTAATTTTATTTAATGTTTCAAATGTATTTTATATTTTAATATTAACGAAAAATTCATTTAAAATATCAAATAAATTTTAAAAAAGCGAAAAATTCATTTAAAATATCAAATAAATTTTAAAAAATTGGTTAAAAAAACTAAATCAATACATTGGTCAAAATTTAGAAAAAAACAAATTTTAATTTTTAAATTAAGATACCAAAAATATATTTAAGAAAAAAAAATCTCATAAAACATTTAACTTTACAATATATTCTTTATAATTTAAATATTAAAAAAAGTCATGCCCAACCGTATATATAATGTTGCCCATGTAAGAAAATAATTTATAAAAGCATTAATATAAAAAAAATTATATAAAAAATAAAATATAAAAGAATTAAACACTAAGTACCAATTTATATAAGAAACAAAATATTTTAAATAATTAATATATAAAAATTTAATAATGAAAACATAGCGTATGTGTGATATTTTTTAATATTTTGTCTCAGTTTCGCTCGACAATGTCAAATTAGTCCATTCTTTAAAACGTGCGTCAACTGCGTCCCTATTTAATAAAATTTATATGTAACGAAGGATTTTATTGATATAAATTTTATTAAGTAGGGACGTAATTGACACACGTTTTAAAGGATGGAATAATTTGACATTGTCGAGCGAAACTAGGGACAAAATAGGGTATTAAGCCTTTTTAATAATAATAAAAATATTATTATTTTGTAGATATTTTAATAATTAAAATGTTAAATTTTAGAAAACTATTAAATTTAAAGAATTAAACACTTAAAAATAAAAAATTGATAAATATTTATTTTAATTTAAAAACAATATTTATTTAAAAATTAAAATTGAAAAAAAAAGAGTAGGAATATCTATTTTGTGTATAAAAATATAAACAGTTAATTAAAAATATTCAAATTTATTAAACACTTAAAGTTTAATAACTCTAATTAAAAAGTTTGATTACAGATAAAATAAAGTTGTAAACATTTTACCCAGAAGAATTTTTCTTGGGAAACTTGACTCCGGGCTTGATCACCCCAATGGCACAAAGGATCCAACATGCAGCGTGGTTTTTTTTTTTTTTTTTTTTTTTTTTATTTAATCCAGTTGAAATTGAAATTGCTTTCTCATATTCCGTATCAAAGCTTCCGCATGAAACCCTAGAAATGAGTGCTGCAGGTATTTGTTTCCCTTTCACTTTTCATCCTCTGTTTGATAAATGAATTGTTTCCAAATTTTGCAGTGAAAATGCTATGCTCTAGGGTTGTTTGAAATCTTTATGCTTCTTCTGTTGTTTCTAAAACAAAATACCCTTTGTTTTTCGTATGTCGTAGTATGCTTTATTCTTTATGGATTTCTGATTATTAATAGTGTTTGATGGTTTTGTGTAGTATAGGTGGTGCGTTTGGTGGCAACAGGGGGCTTCGTCCAGTGCCTCCCGAAAAGGGGATATTCCCATTGGACCATTTGCATTTGTGTGACCTAGTATGTATGCTTCTTTTTCACTTGTTTATTCATTTTTTATTTCTCAGCTCCATTTTGATTCGTTCTTGTATCGCCCTCGTTGCAGGAGAAGGTGGAATATCTAAATTGTTTGAAGACTGCTGGCCACCAGTCTGAAAAATGCAGGCAATTCTCAAAAAAATACCTGCAGTGTCGTATGGAGAGGTGGGTTGCTTTCAATGCATTGCATATAAGTTTTCAATGCACATGTTAGTTAGTCTAATTAAGTAGGCTAGGCTTCTCTGTTGAGCTCAATTTTGTAGTTTGCCATGATGACTAAGCAGCTTTATAAAGTCTTAATTATCTTTCGTGGATTTGAATTAGTCATTCTGAATTTTTGACTGTGATCTGTTTAACTGAGCATTGCAAATTTTGGTGAGGAAAAGAGTGAGTACTTTTCATTTAAAACTAATTATGATCTTGAGTATGAAACTAAAAACAATAGAAAATATACATGGAACCATACTTTTACAAGTTACCTAATTATAGGAACAAAATGTCTTTGAATAACCAAGAAAGAGAACAAGATTACTGGAGACAGGAAACACTAATAGCATTTTAAGAGATAAAGTCTCTATATTTAGGATTAACTCTTGTTATTCAACTGGCATCCGCTATTAATCATTTCTCAGGCAGTAGTTTCGTCAATGGTTTTTCTATAGATGTGTATTTTTATGACACCATATGAGCTTGACAAGATCATAGCACAAGTAGAATGCTATTCTATCAAAACATGTACCAATTTTGCAATGAAATCATGGAATCTAATCTCATTCTAAAATATTCTCACGATGAAATATTAAGTATAGAAGTTAGTGATTTTAGTGGATATCTTTGATGTGTCTTGTTCTTTTCATTGTAAAATAGTTATATTATGCTGTAGATATTACTTTTGGTATATACGGTTCCTACCTTTGTTTTGACTAGATTTTTTTATAACTAATTACCATGAAATATGTAATTGGCTTCTTACAGGAACTTGATGGCAAAACAAGACTTGGCTGAACTAGGTTTTAAGGAAAGTAATGTAGAAACTCCTGGAGGAAAAGTTACTGATAGGGTTGTCACTCAAGATCAATAAACCCGAAGAATTAAGAATGTATATTAATTTCGAGGTAGAGTTTTGGTAATGCCATTTTTGCCGTTATCTTTCCATTCGTTTGAAAAGTAATGTCTAAGCATGCTTTGAGAACAAAAGATATCAGTGAACAGAAGATGGTGGACAGATTGTCCCATTCCCTCTTTTAGACTCGTGGCTATAATTATATGGATTTTGATTTTGTTCCTTCATTGCAATGATTAACAAATTGACTGGGTTAGGCTAGTCAATTCAATCGAAAGATTGATGAACAAGTTAGGTGTTGTGTTTGTTTCATTCGACCAAAATACCGAATGATCATTGATGAGGTGGTTGAGCCAGTCCTAGAAATGCTTACAAATAAGTTTCTTTTTTATTCAATCAAAAGCATTTTCGTGGATGTTAAACAATAAACATAATTTATTATTCTTTAACATTTTATTGTTAATCTTTTATTATGGTATTGTTTTTCATGTTAATGTTTTATTTTACTCAACCTTGATACTGTTTTCTATTAATAATAGTTATATATTATTAAAGTCTCTGTTTATCAGTTTGAATTGGCCTTTAGTTTCATCGTAATCGGAGTAATGAACCTTAAATTGGTATTTTTAGCTATTGAAATCAATTACCGATCTATTGTACCAGTATGAAGAATGATATTAAGATGTGATTTTGAATGGTTTGTACATTTTTAATTTATTACAATGGTTCCTCACTTTCCTGTATCAACAGATGAAAAAGATTTCATCGTAATGTAAAATTTAAAAAATAATTGTTCATCATTTCAAAATCGTGAGGAAGTTAGTAAAAGTGTATCATTGTTCTCTAAAAAATTAATTGAACTCAACCCATACTTGGTATTTTTTATATATAAATTTTGTAACCTTTTGCCATTTGCACGATTATATCATCTGACTTACGTGTTTTAGATATGGTTCCCCAAGAACATAGACAAAAAAAATAACTAAAAGTTGAAATGAAATGAAGTTAATTCAGTCTTAACTAAATCATGTTTGTACTGTTTGAAGTACGAAATTTGAAAGATGGTATTAGTGGTTAGAGATGCAAAAATATTTATGGATAAAACCTATAATGGACTGTTGATACCAGTAAATATTCATTATTTACAGTAGTAGATGGTGGATATTTTATTATCCGATTATAAACAGTTTGAATGAAATATTATACTATTTATATTCACAGTATCCATTATAAAAAAAATCATAATTTTTAATTAAAATTAATTTATATTTTATCAGATTAAAATTAAATTTTAGTTTATATTTAATTTAATTTATGTTATACTATATATATATATTTTAATTTATTTAAATTTTATTTTAAAAATTTATAAAACATATTTTTTTAAAATATTTATGGATATTTGCATATATCTACAGATTTTAAAATATATATGAATATTTTTAAACAAATAATCATGCGAACAGTGGATAAGTAGCGAACAAATTTTTCTGTTATAGATCACGTAGCAATTATGAAAATAAAGAGAAATTTGAACGTAAAAGATGAACCCCAACCATGTATCCACCACACTTCAACTACCCAACAACAGAGGTTTAAGGTTCATTCAGTCAGAGCAACGTTTGGTGTTGACTTTGACTTGATTGAAACTACATTGAGTTCAAGTTTAGAGTTTGGTTTGGACATAATACGTACAAGTGCTTTGTTTTTTTGTTTTAAGGTTGTGTTGTCCACAAACAAAGCATTAGCAAGGAAAGCTAATAGGAGCCAAATCCAAAGGGCAATGAAGAGTTGGAGTTGGTGAATTAATTATAAATTTAGTGTCTCTCTCTTTCTGTGCCTCGATGCCACCGCTCTTACTCTAATCCATTATTTATATTTTCCAACATTAATATGCCTAATCTTTTCCTCTGTCTCTTCTCTTACTTTTCATCTTTCCATGGCTTCTCACTTCAATCTGCAACATCAACTTTTCAACTACTCGTAAGCTTCCTCTTACTTTTTCTTCTCCTTCCTGTTGTTGTTCTAACAATTGTTTCAAGCCCATCAAAATAACCCCTTCTGTGCTGTAAAAGAATAAATATTATCTGAAACATATATTAACTCATTGCTTATCCGTAGTTGATATTTTCTTACCTGAAAGTTGAAATTTGTTTCTGAGGATGGGTTTCTACTTTTGGTATATAATCCTTTCGCTACCCCTTTTTTTGCCCCGTTATGAAATTAATCAGCCAATCATCCATGGGACCAAAATGGGCTAAAAAGTATTAAAAAAATGAAAAATTAGCAAAGTTGTTGGACGGTAGCCTTTTGTACAAAGTTAAAGTTTCATCTTCTGAACTGCTGTTGTTGTTGGTATCCTCGTAATAATATTGTTGTCAAGGTAACCAACAAGTTGTGAGTTGTATTACCCAGCAACAATTTGAAAAACAAGACATTTATTATACATGAAAGTACATTGTCACTTGTATCTGTTCTGTCTGAAATAAAGTAGCAGATTACTACATAGTATTAGTCACTAGTTCGGTAGTTCCAGCTAGCATTTTTTCTTAATCCGTGATGTGTTTGATTTCGCTATGTATTTTAGACATTGCATACTGTCAAAAGTTTATGCATCTCCTGTTTCTTCCTGAAACAGATCCGTGGGGCTAGATGTCAGAAAAAGAACAACGGCTTATGCCCTTCAACATGCCAATTCAAATGTGTTAGATGAGAGAAATAACAGTTCTTTGAATAGTGGCATGCTAGTTGGATCTCTGTCTTCATGTTACACATCCTTCAAGAAGCTCTCATTGTTGGCAGCATCAGCTAAGACTTGTTTTTACGGTTCTGATGATCAAAGCAAAGAAGCAGTTGAGGTTACTGATGTTCCATCCAGTAGTGAGGGAATAGAACATAATAGGGTGCACTGTGTCGTGTGGTTATTGCATGAATCTTCTAGGAGCTTTTCCCAGTCAATCAATTCGCTTGGAGTAGCAAGGAGTGGTCCTGCTCTTGCAATGGCTTGGATTGGAAAGGATGTGCGTGAATGGCATAGACGTATGGCTTATGAGGTACATGCAGCAAAATGTTCTATAGTGAAGAAATATATAATTGTCTCCTACACATTATTCTTTTACATTGTGGGAATTTGTGATATAAGCCTGTTAATGAGAAGATGCATATACTTATTTCCTGAACAATCGTCAGGAAAAGTTGATTGGGTCTAATAATGAAAATATAACCATTGACATGTGCATGTAGGTTGCAGTTTATGCTTTAATGAAAGCAGTAATTGATTTGGAGATATTGCTTTCACATGAACGACTAAATGAATTTTCCCCAGTTAAAGAGATGTAAGCTTTTACTGTTTCTGCTTTTCTTGTCAATAGTAATATTTACACACACACACACACATATATAAGAGTTGTAACATGTTGGAATTTTATCAAACCTTTGATTGGAAGAATAGTTGTGCATCATATTACATTTACTATTTCTGCTTTTTCCTTACTCGTTAATGGTTGTAATAATAAAAGTGATCTTGTTAAATACAACTGATGTAAGCATTGCTCTCATATGTGTTAACTTCTCCTCCCTTTTTCAGTTTGAGCCCACAAATGAATCAAATGGGAGAGCACATTGAAATTCGACTGAAAATGAAGCATCCATATTTGGTGCAGTGGTTTAGAGACACCGAAATGCCGCGGATAGCAGGATATTTTATTCCACTTCTAAAGAAGTGGTCCATGGAATATGCAGGAAGGTTTGTTTGAAACTACCTTGTTTTCAGAAACATATATTTGAACCTTGGATGGAATTCCTTTTTCTTAGTCAACAAATGTCCTTGCATTCGTTTGACTTTCAAAGTTTTCCTTCAAGTTGATGATTTTATGTTCATTTCGGTTAGATTCGCCATATATTCAGCAGAAGAAATTTAGTCTGACAGAAAAGTATTCAGCGGTATTGCAGGAATTATTGTGGCTATAACATGTTGTAGTGCAGTGGTTAAATTTGGCTCCAGGCATATCTGCTGCTCCTTACTTGTATTGTCTCTTGAAGATGTTTTGGTCAAGCTTATGGACTTTTCACCCAATCTTGCATCTATGGACAAATTACATCAGTTAGCAACTGAGGCAGGATTTGAACAGTATTTCTTGTACCATTTTGGTGGGAAGGTTTTTCCCAGTGAGAAAACTGAGGACCTAGAGTTTTGGATTGGTTTGGCCCACAAGAAACTATTGAAAGCCTTTAATGAAGAAAGCATCTCTTTAAAGAAGCAAAATTTTCAACAAAAGGTCAACTTGCAGACTTGTGCAGAAAATTGATGGATAAATAGGACTTAGTCTGAGTATAATATTTATTTAAGAAATAATTTTCCTCATCCAAAGGGAATAGCAGAAGCATTTAGGAAAACATATTTCGATAAAATTTAGTCCTGTTGATACACTGTTGACATGAAGAAGACATACTTAGCTGTAGTGCATTTTTCTTTTTTAGTTTTATAAAACAGATAATATATTTCTAGTCATGGTTTGCATGATCACTTGACATGCCTTCCAAATAATCGATCTTGTTAATCTCGTTATTTTATAGGTGCATGCATGGTTATATATCATTCTATACTCAGACAGTTGTTTATGCTGTTCCTTTTACAGATACGAGCAGACAGTTTGGCCACATTGGGGCTTTTTACATACCTTGGAAGAAAGACTAGAATGTTTTTGTCAGTAATGGGCATTAAGGATCTTGACGGAGTAGTCAAGGACTTCCTCAGGTTGATCTCTTTGCTTGTTTGTTACATTTTTAATCATGTAAATTTTCAAGATACTGATAGTGAAGATTCAATGCTTTGATTTTAGGTACCTGGAATTTGGCATTCTTTTCATTTATCCGGAATTTTCCTCCATCAGTGTGTACCAGTGTTTCATGGAGGTTAGTTTCTGTTAAATACCATTCGTATGTTGAGCTTAAATGTCACTGATTGTAATCTAATATGTCTTTCAGGTGGTAACAGATGAGATAGGATGGCTTGATTTTTATATGTCCTTTGTTCAAATAAACTGCAAGGAGAAAAGGTCTAAACATAATGCTCGCCAGGCAGAGAAAGAGATAATTTCTTCTGTAGTTTTTACTGTGTGCTATGATGTTTTCTCTGGGTTTGCACACTTCAATCGCTCAACTCAACAATCATTGGACACAGCTTCACGGTCATACTTGCTCATTTGGTAATATTTAGTTTATATTTATACATCAGTTTAAGTTTCTTTGTCTAACAATAGTAACTATTAACATTGTACGTTTTGCATTCTGTTTTTAACATCCTAGTCAGGGTTTGCTTAGTATTTGTCTGCAATATCACTGGGCTGCTTATGACAAGTCGGGGTAGGCTGGTTCTTGTTTGATGGATGCTTTACTCATTAAATGCTGAGGATCATTAATTAGTGCCTATTTTCAGGGAATCACTAAATACCATGGATCATGCTGCAATTGACAACCAAACATCATATATGGGAAGTATAAATGGACCCAAGTTACCTCGGGTGTTTGAAATGCATCAGATGTCACATGATTTAACTACAGAAGGATGTCCAGAGATTAATTTTCGAAACAGTAGTACATTCAAAAAGGTATGTCAGTAGATGTGATTTATTATAACAACTAGATATATGACAAGTTAAGGAAATTCATTATCTTGATAAACTAGGAAGTAGGTTGATTCCTTATGTGATTTCTATACTCACAGAAGGAATTTGCCTGTTAGGTTTTGATTTAATTCTTTTATTCAGTTGTGATTTTTGCTCACGTATTTTGGCAAGGATACATATTGGTTTTGTTGATCTAAGTATCCTTGGTAGTTGACAATTTATCCTTAAAGATAAGGCATAATCTAAAGGGTTTAGAGAAATCGTTTAGGATTAGAAACAAAGTGAATCTCGTTGTAGTTGAGGTTAATGAACTGGGAGCATAGATAGAGACAAAACAAAAGATAGACAGATGTTTTTGACATGAGGCCTTGGCTGTGGATTTGGTTTCAAAGTTTCTTCCTTTTTTAATCACAGGCTTCAGTTTCTGCAATCACAAGTAAGAAAACATATGAGAAAGACTCTGATATTGACAAGTCAAATACTCAGCCTCAAAATTTTATCAAGAGATACATAATCAAATTGGCATCCACAAGTGCAGTAAGAGTTTTAATAGTGTTTCTGGTAAATGAGTAAGCTGTAATGACTCTACGTTTTTTAATCTGTGGAATATTGTACCAGGACATCTGGATGGGTACTGTATTGCTCTTCATAGACATTTCAGTTGCTTTAGAGCTACTTTCAAGGCAAATGCATGGCTGCAAGCCTTCTGGTAGTCAAAGAAAGAGGCTAAACAGAACCTTGTCTGACATAATTGTGCTAATTCCAGTGACAATCTTGATGCTACTTCCTGTGAGCACCTTTACCCTTACAGAACCTTGTGGCTTGGTTAACTTTCTGTTTAGTTCACTTTTAAGACCATGCTAAACTACCCATTAATAAGATGTATAATGTCTTCCCTAACACACCTTGTATTTTTTTAACAGTTTAATTGATATGTATTGTCAGAGTAAAATACTCTTACGCTGTCAATCAATGTCACTCTTACTGTAAATAGTAAAGTAGTTATTACAGAAGTTAACAAAGCTTACTATATATAATAGTTTATGATTGTTTTACGATTGGATTACTGTATAACAATGTTTTTCACTGTTAGTGCATAACCTTTTTTTTTTATTTTTCTGTTTCTAATATCTCTACTGTAGCATTTTCTTAAAGGATGTGACTGGGAGAATATATACTTGACAAATTTTCCTTTCTTATTTGTAGTGCAGACAGAGGAATTGATCACTGAATATGCAATTATAATACTTATTACTCGGAGAAGAAAGTGCTGGAAGTATTTCAATTATAATAATTGATTTTATTTCTGTTTCCAGGTAACAGCTGTAGGCCATGCAGCTATTCTGGCAGCTATCAAGAAGTATATGCCGTTCTTGGTAACTTTTTGCTGCCTTGTCTTTCAAGATTTTCATTTGTCTTGCCCTACTCATGATGCTTGATACATTATGCAGATCCCTTCATCTTATTCTTCTGAGCGCTTGGATGTTGTAAAGCAAATAAAGCAAACTAGAGAGATGGGTGATCAGTTACATTTGGCTCAGTTTGACCTTGAAGATCAACCAGTAACCATTTCTTGAACATGACCAAGTCTCATGTTACATTTGAACTTCATAGTGTCAGTGCCTAATCATTCGAATCAAACTTCTTGGTCAAAAGTAGAAAATTATTGCAAAGTCCTTCCAAAGCCAAAGGGATTATGTATATTTGGATAACCTTTATGGATACATTTTTGGGTGCTGAAGATATTTTTGGAGAAAGATAACTTTTTGTATCTTTTATTCCGAAAGTACTTCTGGAAGGAGTGTTAGTACAAACATGTATTGCTGCAAGAGGTAAGAGTGTCATGATTATAGATAAAACATTCGTCTATTTGTTGATTAGTAATATATAGATTATCTTGTTTAAACGTTAAAATGCTACATTACAATACTTGTAATTTCATTACATTCGAAGCATGTTTAATAAAATGAAAATGGCTATTCATTCATATTGATTAAATTACATATAAATGAATTTCAAATAAAGTACATAGATTATTCCGTTGATTTGAAAGCTATATGAAATATTGAATTATATAGCAGCAGCAATTAGAGATTACATAATATGGATAATTACAAGTCCTCTGTATTGTTCTTGATTTACCACCCGCATAAACTGACAAAGCTACAGCAAACTTTTCACGTAGTCTACAAGGCAGTTCTTCATTTCACACATAATGGATACAATAAATATGAATGGACATTTGAAAAATCTGAGTTGTATTTTACCTGAAGCCTGAATTAAAGTTGTAATATCTCAACCATTAACTACATACACAACATACTCAAGAAAATAAAACATTACAGTGCTACACAACATTCTTATGCTAAAATCTAATTCAAAGCGACAACCATTTTGAATCTCTTCATGTCCAAAATGTATTCTCATTTTATTATTTTGCTGTCAACATGGACATGTAGAATTTCATTTATAGAGCTCCATCACTGCCAAGAAAATCAACATTTTGCACAGGTAACGAAACTATGAACATTTTTTATCTATTAATGTCCAGCAATTACACACCGTAAATAATCCTCCATAACAACACAAGATCTAAAGTTTAAATCATTCTCCTTGAATCACGAGAAGAGGTCATATGGTCCTACAAGCATGAAACAATGTGGTCATGTTAATACACCAAAAGCTAAATAACAGATATCATCTCGACAAATTCTCCACGCAGCATACGTTTATCATTTAAACTTAAATATGTTAAATATTCAAAATTACTCGTCCCATGGCAAGCATGGGGGCCCAACCAAGGACTTGTGAAATTATTGTAATCTAGTTTATTAATGAAATTGTATCATATCTTAACATGAACAGTACTCTACCTCATTCATCTATGAAAAAGCAAACCAATAAATGGCACCATAATCTAACAAGGTAAATTATTCATGCAGGCTATCGGTTTCCAGGTGTTCAGTAATGATTTTTTTTATTCATCCCTATGTTTCCACAGATTGCCGGTAAAATACCAAGTGGCTTGTTTTTAAAAATAAATCACATTTTAAATTATATCAATTCCATTCATGTCGCTAAGTTATTCACTAATGAATCTGCACTTCAAAATGCATAAATTAAAACCAGATCCTTAACAAAAATTAAACCAATGGAAGGTACTTGTAAAGTATTTACACCAAACTTACAGAGATAAAGTCAAATGCTTTAGTTTCTTCTTTCCTTGAGGTGTTGATCATTGAGCTAGGAGTTTGAGTTTGAAAATTTGGTTGAAATATGTCTGGCAAGGGTGATTTTCCATTCGGTCCAGCCATTTGAGCAACACCATCATCTCGCATGTTGATATTATTAAGGTGTTGGAAATTAGCCATTGTTGCTAAGAATTGCTGTTGAGCCAAAAGAGTTCCCATGGCACCGTAATTAAGAGGCTGGGAAGAATAAGCTTGGTTCAACATGAAGCCAGGTTGCATATTAAAAGGCAGAGTACCATTAGGAAAAATGGGATTTACATTCAACCCCATTGGCTGAGAGCTCAACATGCCATCTGAAGTATTGCCAGGAATATGGTCAGTTAAGCCTGAAAATAAAGATTCAAATTGCATGGAAGGAGATGCTCCCTTCTGCGTCGTACTTGAGGTATTTTCATCCATTGATAGACCGCCCATTAAATCAGTGACAAGCTCCTTCTGGTTTCCGTGCTCAGAATTGGAAGTAAAAATGTCAAAAAGTTCAGGATCACCCATATTCCCCTGCCTGTGATTGGCGTGATTGCTCTGCTTATCACTACCAACAGTCATCCCAGAAAAGAGATCATCAGCATTTTCTTTGTTCTCACTTGTGTGAAATGAAACATCAGCAAATGGATCATCATCATTTTTTATTTCTTGACTAGCTCCAATAGAGCTGCTGAAATCTCCAAATAAATCATCAACCAGAGGAGTGGATGTCAAAGTTGATATATTTTGATCTGTTACACTGTTTAGAGTGTCCTCAGTTCCGTGATAATCATCTGAATCACCAGTGTCTATCAAATTAGGCAGCTCCACAACAGCAGCATTCTCTGTTTTCACAGCATTCTCTGAATTAATTGCAGAGTTGTTTGACTGGCCTCCACCTAAAAGACTAAGAACCTGTCCATCAAGGGGCCAAGTGCTGAATTAAATTACACAGGTTGCTCTTAAAGTTATTAGCTTATATCAACTGAGTGCCAAGTCGTCTAAGCTATTACAACAGCAACACAGCCTCATCCACTAGGTCTAAGCTGTTACTGTTAAAATATTTTAAAAATATACAAATGACACTTTAGACATTTGGCATAGCATATAGTTCATTTCCTCCACAATTGACAAAGAAAAAAAGAAGAACAGTACATTTACAAGGGTGAGACTCACATGGAATTTCTTACTGGTATTCGCACTTCCAAGGCTAAGAACAAAATATTAATGATCAAAGCTGTTTCACAATTCGGATTCCATTATAATAATTAGCATCCAACCTACTCAGTCTAAAAGGTTTCACATGAAAAGCCTATCCATAAACTGTCAACACATTCTTCTCCAATCACCAGTGATAAACGTTTAGAACTAAAGTTTCAAACCTGAGAGCTTAGCGCTCTCTAAATTTGCTTATCAAATTAGCTTTAGAAACCTTTGATGATATCATCCAAATCCAAAGCAATACCGTTGCTTTAGGGACAGCAATAGCATTATGCCCAGCTGACTTGAGTCTGTAACTGTCGAATATTTTTAGATTAATATGTAACAAGTTCACCACAAACTCGTGATATCAAACAAAGTACCACCTTTACATTAGGGACAGCAAGAGCCACAACTGACATTAGTCTGTCACTATTGAATATTTTTAGATTAAATATATAACCACAAGTTCAGTACAAACAACAATCTATCATTACCTTAGTTGACTCTATATGATTAATTTTTCTTCTTGCTGGTTCACTAGTTTTTTCATTACCAAAACTTTAGGTAATTTAATCACACATTAAAATAAATTGAAATAAGTACAAAGTGCAAAATAGTTGATATGGAAGCTTCATGTAATAGCTATTCATTTGATAGATAATGAGGGTACCTTTGCAGCCCTTTCCCGCAAAGAGACTTGCGGAGATTCAGAACATCTCAGCACCACATCTCTATTTTCAGTGAAGTAAGATTCCACCAGTGAAAAATGATCATCATCCTTCTTCCTCAGAATGGACTCAAGGACACAAACAGCTTTCATGCGAACCTGCAAATATTATTCACAGAACACAAGTTAAATATAATATCAATGCAAATAAAGATATCATGTACAGTCACGCTATATTCTGATCCAAAAATACTTGGAATGAAAATAATTTGTAAATCCTAAAAAAAAAGACTTATACAGACAAAGAAGTGCATATTTGTATATTTAACATGGTCAATCCTGTCTAAATTTACATTTCTGTCAAAAATCAACATAATAGACATGCCTGCCAAATTGGAGATTGAAGCTTCAGTTCAAGGGCATGACATAAAGCCAATGCATCTAACTTTGCAGCCTCCGTTAGGAAAGCTTGAATTGCATCACGAGTGGGTTGCAGGCGAACACCTCCTGAAGTTACAATTGTCTCCAGCAACTTATGCTCTCTTGTCTTACTCTCTACATAACTTGCACCAGAATCCCCATTTGATGTTTCCGTCTTAGTTACTCTTGAATCCTGATTCCAAGGACCAGAAGATTGATTCTTTGAACCTCCAAAACTACTCTGAGCATCATTATGATACGAAATTGGTTCATATCTGTCACCATGTTCTGTTTCATTTGTCAACGATCTTCGAAGATTTGGACTCTTATAGCTGCCGGGATCATTTTTCATCAGCGAATGTCCCTGTGTTAAGCTATTAAGCCCTTGCTTAATTGACGCGCTTCCAATACCAACAACCTCACTGATAAAAGATTTTTTATCTTCCTGTGGCGGTTCATAGTTTTTATTCCCAAACCCTTGTATCCGCCGGTTTAGATCTTCAGCGGGGGCTGGCTTACTATTCTCTTCTGAAAAGATGGCAGAGATAGCCTCGTGAGCAGTGTCTCTCACGGCCTTATTTAGTGCATCGCCTTTCAAAGGATCCAACTGTCCCTTGTAGTGAAACAACTGACGAACCGCCACTGAATGTCTCTGCATTTCCCTTCTGAACTCCACGCCCGACTTCCCAACCACATACTTTATCAATCTTAAAGCCTGCCAACATTAACACAAGCATGTATCACAAAGTGTTTACATAAATTATATAGGATGCATATTCCAAACTCTGACACCAAAAACCACTATGATCCTTTCTCATATCCCCACCTCCAACTTCACACTGTATAATTACAAAGCTAATTCCAACTATTTCAATTTTCAAATCCAATATCCCTTTCATCCCTCATGTAAACACTAGCAGCTATTCCAAAATCTCCCCACACCCCAAAAACAATAAAAAAAAAGTATATCGAAATAAAAAAATTTGAAGTTTGAACCATCCAGATCCAACTCATCCAATCCAAAAACCAAACGGATTTTTAAGTACCTTCTGTTTCACAATTGGGCTTTTATGTTCCAAACGTTTTAAGACAAACTCCGAAACCTCCTTCACAATACTAACATGCGAAGAACGCAAAAGCTCGCTGATTTCCTCCAATTTGTAAACGGGCGTGACTTTATCTTCATCGGACGTAGCTGAATCGATCAACCGCGACCGCCAGTACGACTCCACTGCTCTTCGACTCGATTCCATTTTTCCCCAAATCACAACAACCTTAAACTTCCCACTGAGATGGGATTTTTAATGCATAAAATATATTAAACCCCGAGACGAATGCTAATTCTCTGAACTTAAACACACGGATCGATCGGGTAAACGATCACCCAGATAGAAAATCCAATCAGGGGTTTAAAAAGTCGCAAAATTTTGAGGAGAATGGAATGAACCACGATGCCCCCTCCGACGGGGTTTTGAGATTTGGGGAAGAATCGAAGACGACGAACGCAGAGAAAGAAAAGACAATTTGTGGCACCAAATACACTTGCGAAAAATGAACTCGTGGAATGAATTTTCACTTATTTTCTTCGTCTTTCAACTAAAAAAAAGTAACAAATTAAATATTTATAAATTTATAATGAAGACTTGTCTGCAGATTGATAAAAAATATTATTACCTATTATTCAGACAAGATATATTGTGGGGGTAGTTAACCGTCTAATTTTAATTAAATACTAATATTCTATTAATCTAGTTTCATGATTAATTATGGTGTTATATTATTAATTTATAAATTACGATGGAGAATCCTTTGGAGGTGTTATATTCTTTTCCTTGGCAAATAAAATTTGTTATTGAATTCGATGACACATGCTAAATTAGGTTATTGTACAGATTAAATATTTGAAAAAAAAAATTAACAAGAGTCTATATTTGAATTTTAGAGATTCAATCGATATTAGTCTGTACGATAATGATGTTGTTTTTTTTACTGAACTATGATGTCATTTTAGTTCTTTAAATAGACAAAAAGTGGCATTTATTTTATTTTACTATTAATAGAGTACATTAACTATTAAAATAGCGTGTTATTTTATGATTAATATAAATCGTGTTTCTATTCAACTAATTGTAAATTTTATTTTATTCTAGCACACTACGTAGTAAAATAACTTAACCATTTAAGATAAATTTAGTGATAAGAGAGTTTGAATAACTTGTATACAACTCTAAATTTAAAGTTAATCATCAGTTGATAAAAAATACGGTAAAACATTTTAATTTGGCTCGTTTAAACTCGGTCAAAAACGAAGTTATCAAATGAGTTGAAGAGTTATATTTAAATAATTTATTACTTATTTAAATATAACATTTTTTTATATGTTTTTTAATATATCAAAAACATGTTTATTTATTTGTATAAACGATTAGCAAAAAGATTATGTCAATGGAGTTGAAAAGATCATCTCAATTTACATTTTTTAGTTGTATTGTTGAGGTTATTCGTGAAATTCTATCTATTTTACTACTTCTAAGAAAAAATTAAAATCATTTAAAAGGTAAAAGAAGTTTGATTTTGAAGGTTGGTTGTCATCTTTTTCATGTGTCTGTCTACCTAGGAACCATAAACAGAGCCAGACGCCAAAGAAAAGACAGAAAAGTGGGTATTATTATTGATTTTCTATCGCTTTAACACGCACGTTTTTCATTTCTCGTTAACATTTGTTGTTTTTTTTTTCAAATTTATTTACCCTTTCATATGTTATAATAATGGATAATCTTTGACAACATTTTTTTTATAAACATTTTAATACTATCTATGATCATTCTGTGATTGGTCCATGTTGATGTTTATGATTATTATTATTGATTCTGGAATAATTTTGGATCAATCACATAATGACACCTAAATGATGTTAGAATATTGTTAAAAAAATGTTGTCAAAAATATCATTATCATATTATAATAGAACTTAGAAGTATGCATAGGGAGGGAGGTCGAGAACAAGAAAAGAATATTTTTCTTTCATCGGATTTTTTTTAATGGAAGAGAGAATACACACTCCACAATTTTTTCTTTTTCCTTAATTTCCTTGTTGAATTTTTTTAAAACAATATTAACTAATACTATTAAAAAATATTGGGTTATTAATTTCCTAATTCATTTTTCAAACAATTTTTTTATTTCAGTCAAAATAGAAGAAGAAACAGTAAAGAATAAAAACATTTTTTTTTGTTTTAAGGCAACTCATCAAATTTTTTCTCTCACTCCATCAAAAACTTCTGGAAAATTGTGTTTTGAAAAATAAATTTCAGAAATGGAGTGTAGGAAGAAAATGATAAGGTGTAAGAAGTCAAAGTCTATAAACAATAGTATTGGAATCCAAAAGTTATGGTAGTCCGTTTTGTTAATTAGAGGAGAGAAGCTTTCCTTGAAGAACCTTGGGCCTTACAGAGAAATCGCAAGGAATTTCTTCTTACACCCCTTGATTTTCTTTACTTAGAAAAGGGTCAACATATCACACTGCATTCTTACCATAATCCTTCCTATCCTTAGTAATGACTTCTAATCTATACAATTAAAAAAAATTTATAAAAAATATTAATTTTAAAATATGTAATTTGAAAGTTTTTTTTTTTAAATTAAAAATTAACTTTCGTATTATGTAATTTGAAAATTAAAAATAATTTCTAGACTGTATAATAGAAAAACTTATTTTGCATGTTCTGTATTTTGAAAGTCAAAAGTGACTTTTATATTGTATAATCTAATAATAATAAAAATAATCTTTAAATTACATAATCCAGAAGTTAATAAAAGTTTCCAAACTATATAATTTAAAATTAAAAAAATCAAATTATATAATCTAAAAGTATTTTTAACCAAAAAAAATGACTTTTAAACTGTATAGTCTTAAAAATAAAAAAAATTACATAGTTCAAAAGTTATTTTCATATTTATGCAGTGCAACAAAAAGATCCTGAAATCATCAGCTGGGTTTTTGAAGCAATCCATGTTTAGTTTCACTTTTATATATATATATATATATATATATATATATATATATATATATGTATAAGCATATAAGAATATAGATGAATGGTTTTTTATTTCACACATGAACAAACTTGGGAATCGAATCAATTCGAAATTAGCATAATTACATTATATTACACTCATATCAATTTCAAAGTGTCTATTTTATCAATCTTTCGGTCCTTTTATAAATATTAAATGTGTTTTTATATTTTCAAAACTTATATTATGAACCCAAATCTCGGTTAAAGAAAAGAATGTCAAGGAATTATCATTATATAGTTTTTAGCCTAATTCATGATATTTTAACAACTTTTTTTAATAATTTTTCGACAACAGACTATGTATTACTCTTTTATTGGTTTATATATTTGAAATGAACCAATCACAAACTATTATAAAAAAATTGTTAAAAAATATTTTCTTTTTATTAAGTGAAGTAACTTCGTCGATTATATCATTTGAAAACAATAATATATGTTAAATAAATATAAAAAATTTATAAGTATGCTATTACTGTTTTCTTATTATTGTTATTTGTATTCAAATAAAATGTATTTAACAACCACTTCACGCACAACTTTTGGCCAATACTAACAAAAGTGATTACCTTTTCTTTTTCTATTACACAAATGATTAATAAAGGGTTTGTTGGTGTAGATAAGATAAATATAAAGAGAAAATATTTTATACAACAAAATAGATAGTTTTACAGGGCTATCCAATCAGACACTAATATAAGTGATAAAATTATTAACGAAAAATGATATTTTGACAAATAAATTTTTTACATTCATTTTTTATATTATTTTCTTTTTATTTATTTTTTAAAAAATACAAAAAATATTTTTTATAATTATTTTATCTTTATATTTCGTGTCATAGAAATGTGTATCCAAACTATTTTTTTACGTATAATTAACTAAGCATTCCTTGATGAAAAAGAAAAGCTTCTGACAGAAGCTCTAAAAAGTCAAGATGATCTCTTAGCTGAGCACTAATTGGCCGACCAACTTATCCACGACATTGGCCAAAACAACCAATATGTGATACATTAATTACTCAGAAACTTAAACACCCAAGAATTTGTGTTCAGTCAATTTGAAATTCCACAACCTCTCTGCTATATTTTAGAGCATGGGCGGTGGTATATGTGGCCCAAAGCTATTCATGTTCTCTCCACTCCTACTTTTCTTTTATGATTATTTCCTTCACATTCTACCCCACAACCAAACATCATCTCTACCACTCTCTCTCCTTCTCACATGGAGGAATCATTCGTTAGCTTCCGGACATTTCTATTAAAGTATGCCAATGACAGCTAAGTTTGCCACTACAGAACTGATTGGATATGTGCATCGATATGTCTCACATAACCATCCCTTTTATCGTGCAAACAACACACACTAAAATAATGGTAATAACTTTAATCATGAATGAATAAATCTAAACACCGGTCTAACTCTCATATTAAATAAAAATAATTTTTTGTAATTTAGTTAGGCTTAAAGTAATTCTTAACATGGTATCATAATCAGGTTAAAGTCTATTCTAACAAGATTTTCTATAGATATATTGTCTCACTCGCTATCAGACTACTATCGGACTATCCATTAATGTTTATCTCATGCATGAGATGTATATACCTCGGCGTAAGGGATTGTGTTGGAAATCCCACATCAACTAGAGATAAGGTCAATTTATAGTATATGAATGGGTGCAAACCTCACTTTACAAGCCACATGATTAAGTTAGGTTTAAAGTTCACTTCTTAACAATTTAAACATTTTAATAAAATTAAGATTCATAAAATCACCATCTTAAAATTTTAAAATTTTATAATGTATTTTCGTATAGAATCGAATTGTCCTATAAGATCTGCCGTCTCACTATCTCATTGGTTGGTTATATAGTAACTTTAGAGGGATTCAATACTACTTCTTTAGTGTCAATCTCTTATGAAAATGTAATGATCTTTCATTTATATATCTAAAAGTATCCATCATGAAATATTTGAATGAAAAGTAGAATGTAGTACAAGATAGTGATAAGATTAGTTGTGGTTTATGTTTTACAAATGATAATGTTTGGTTCTATATTTTTAAAATGTGGTAAGTTTTAGTCTGGGCTATACTTTATTCTAACCTAACCAGGAAAGAAATAATACATCACATTTAAGAAAAAGTCAAAATCATTGCTTTTAAAACATACAGATTAAAGGTTAAAACATATATATATATATATATATAACCCCAACAGAGAAGCTTTTTGTACTACTACCTTTCTTATTTGTAACATTTCCTTGTCTATCCTGTCCTCTAATTTTAACAGTTCCCCTAGAAAGTTCTGAAGATGGGTGGCATTGCCTTCGGACGTTTGGATGATTCTTTCAGTTTAAGCTCAATCAAGGCCTATATTGCTGAGTTCCATTCAACCTTGCTCTTTGTTTTTGCCGGTGTTGGTTCAGCCATAGCCTATGGTTAGTTTTCTGGTTTCACAACAAAATTTAATCCAAGATCTCAGTCTCAACCCCACCACTCCTTTGTAATTTTAGTCCCATTCAAGGTGTTTCACCATGATTAAACATAAAACAACCCTTAAAAATAAGAGAAAACTGATGAAGCAATGTTTGTTTTGGCTTGTAATTGTCACCATGTAGAAGTTTACAAATTTTTCATTTTGAAACCGTGGTGCTTAGTTTCAACATGTTTGGCTGTTTTGTTTTCACTTGTAGGTAAGTTGACATCAGATGCAGCACTCGATCCTGCTGGGTTACTGGCAGTTGCTATTTGCCACGGTTTTGCACTTTTTGTTGCAGTTTCTGTTGGTGCCAACATCTCTGGTGGCCATGTCAACCCTGCTGTGACTTTTGGATTGGCTCTTGGTGGCCACATCACCATCCTCACAGGCATATTCTACTGGATTGCACAGCTTCTTGGCTCCATTGTGGCCTGTTTTCTTCTCAGCTATGTCACAGGAGGTTTGGTAAGTTTCAATTGAAAGAATCTACACATGGCTACCTCAATTTGGCAAATCTTTTCCTTGCATTATAGAAGCTTCATGCATAAACCAAGGACATATTTACATGTCCTTTTTTCTATCACTTTGTGAAGAGACCATAATTATGATTCTGCTACGGGTAAGATGCATAAGTAGTAAAAAAAAATATTATTTCATACACCTAAATTTTTTACATTCATGTGACACTATTCTTTCTTACTTTTTACTCTCTTTTTCCTTAAAAAAAATACAAAAATTTACAATTTTATAACTATTTCATCCTTATACTATATATCAAATGAACGTAAAAATGTATCATGATATCATTACTTTTAAGTAGTATGTCCCGAAGGTATCTCTATTTAATGTAATAATATATATACAACAATAACAAAAAAAAATTTCACGAAATAGAAAATAAGAGATGAAAGTGAATTTATACACGGAGATAAAGCTACCAAAAACACATCTTTGAGCTGTTGACCCACTTCCTATAACATTTGTCTCTCATCTTTTCTTTAATATGAGCTACACCGATGTATATATTATATTACCATCTTGTATGAAGCTAGTATTCAAACATCATTAACATTCTCAATTTTTTTATGGTATCAGACACTTGTAAATAATAGGACAATCCATGTTTAGTTTATTTAGACGAAAAACTGAATTGTTGTTATTTGTTGGCAGGCAATTCCAGTTCACAGTGTGGCTTCTGGGGTTGGAGTTGTTGAAGGAGTTGTTACAGAGATCATAATCACATTTGGTTTGGTGTACACTGTATACGCCACAGCAGCTGATCCTAAGAAGGGTTCGTTGGGCACGATTGCACCCATTGCCATTGGTTTCATTGTTGGTGCGAACATCTTGGCAGCAGGGCCATTCTCAGGTGGCTCAATGAACCCTGCACGCTCCTTTGGCCCTGCAGTTGTGAGTGGTGACTTCCATGACAACTGGATCTACTGGGTCGGACCTCTTGTCGGTGGTGGTTTGGCTGGCCTCATCTATGGCAATGTCTTCATTCGCTCTGACCATGCACCTCTTTCCACTGAATTTTGACTCCATTGGGAGATCATGGCCTCTGTAATATTCATGTTTCTTCATAATAAAAGTAGGATAAGCAATTCTTGCTTTTCTTGCTTTTTCTAGTGTATGTTTTTCCTTCTTGTAATTTATTTGTAAAGTGTGCTACTGTTTAATTTGGTGAGAATTCAAAGAGGTTGGTGGTGTGCTGCTTTACTCTTTCTAAAGGATTACTTTTTAACTTCTTTTTTTTAATTAATGCACAGATTTAAAAATTTTAAATAAGTTTAAATCTCATTTAAGATAAAAATGAAAAAATAAAATATCATTTAAAATTAAAGATTTATTAATTCATTATCTTAAAATTTTAAATAAAAAATAGTATCAATTTTTTTTATATGATTAAGCTCAGACCTTAAAACAAAGAAAAAACGTCAATAATGGTCTGTTAAATACATGATAAAAGATCCAAGTAACATGTCACTGTCACCGTCTAGAAATGTCGATTATAGCAACAAAGTTTGGAAAAGGAAAATGATACTTGAACAACCATTTTTGACAATATTTAGACACGCGCACACGTGTCAAAATCTGAGTGGTCCATTTTCATTTAATTTTTCCAACTGGATCACTCAGATTTTGACACGTGTGCGCGTGTCTAAATGTTGTCAAAAATGGTTGTTCAAGTGTCATTTTCCTTTGGAAAATGAAACAATTATGTCTGAGAAATACTTTGTTCCTTGATGCAAAGGATGAACAGTGTTGAATTACATGAAGATGGGACGGTTAGGACTTTATGGTTGTCCCAAATGTAGAAAAGGTGGTGGTGAGGCCCAGAATTTGGGAATTATTAATCTGCAAATGTAAACTTGCAATAATAGAAGGTAGGGAAAACAGCATTACAGAGTCACGTCTTTTAGATCATGATGAAGAAATAGAGGACAAGACTCTATTCAATCCTCTCTTCTCACATGCTTTGTACTTCACATCTACAGTGCAGAAAATCTGATAGCAAGTTCGCACGAGTATAGGACCATTAGCGGTAGATTCAAATGGACTCAAATAAATAGTTAACCAATCCGTAAAAACAACCATTAAGATAATTAATAATAATAATAACAATTAATTGACGGTTAAAAAGAATAATAGTGATTTATTATTGATTAATTTCAAATCTTATGGTAAACTCATTATAATATTTATAAATATTTGTCTCATAGCAGGTAATTTTTGAACTCTAATAACTAATCTTTATTACAAGATTATTACGCAAAGTTATTGACTTGAGTGTCAGAGTGTCTTCTGCAGACACTCTCTTCCTGCTCCTTGGACAAGGAGAAGAGAGAGAACATCGCAGCTAGAAGATGGAACGAACAACTTTGAATGCTTTGGGTTAAGGATCTTAATCTCACCGAAACACGATATATTCGTGTATAAAGATCTAGCACCATGTCCTTTTTATTAGAACTAATAACATTTTAATAAAATCTAAAATATATGTTAACGAGCGATAACACAATTTATAAAAAAAGTAACTAACATATCACTATAGGCTAGTAAAGCAGTAACCGATAGTAAATTAAAATAAAATTAGGATCGATAATGAATATTATAAAACACTAAAGTAAGGTAAAGTTGATCAATGTTAATAGCCACTACATGAATAGAAATTGATTGAATTTAGGATTTGGAATTTAGAAAGGGAACACGTTACAAGAAATGAAAGCAATGAGCACAGACAATAATCCATCTATCTTTAAAAGAGATTGATAAAATAGTAAAAATAAAAAATAAACCATTGAAAAAATTATTAGCATTTAGAATAGACATAATCATACTACTAAAACGGTCAATTAGAGACATTAAACTTTTTATACATGATCATGTGAGAACACAAAAAATTATTAGGATTAATGTAAGAAAATCACTTTTGATAACGTATCAACATAGTGAAAAATAATCTTAATTTAGCTCTATAAAATCAGTTCTTTATCCATGTATATATAATTTGGTCTATGTAAAATTTTGACCACATCCTTCAAGTGTGAAAATTAAACGATACACAATAACATATGACCTGATAAATTTAAATCTAAATTAATATAAACTTTTAATATTTCATATATCATATTATTTTAAAATACCATATTCAATTCTAATATTATATTAAAAGAGAAAATAAGAAAAATTAATTGAAAAAATATGTCATTTATATAAAAAAAATATTATATATAATAACCAATGGAACAAAAAGAAAAATAAAATAATTAATTATACAATATTTATATAATGGAAGATAATGATTTTGAACTAATAACTTATTACACAATTCATATAAGAAACATAATATAACCTCAACCTTAATATATTTTTTATCTCCAATTAATATTTGATTCTAACTTTAATATCACAAAAATTAAATGAAGTGAGAAACCGAAATAGTTTGAAATTTAATACACCATCACTTTGATTATATAGTCACGAAAATATCCGTTGACAAAGAATTTTCTCAACTAGTTCACATCCAACATTGTTTCAACTACAGTTACCACACTTGACTATCTTAGATTAAAATAACACGTTTCTGTTATGGTATTTTTTTTAAAAAAAGGAGAAAATGATTTTCTTGAAATGATTTATATAATAAATGTTACTTAAAATGACTTGTATTTATATAAAGCTTATTTATTTAAGAAAAAGTGAAAATATAAAATATAAATTTAAGAAAAAAAATAACAATTAAGTGTGCATATTTTATGATTAATTTAAATTTATAATATTAATAATTATTCATATAAAATAGGAACCATTAAATTTAATATGATAAGAACTTTGTATAATTGGATTAATTAAGAAATTAATAATGATAAATATTTAATTAAAAATTAAAAAAATTAATAACATAAACATGTGGTACTCTAAGCAGACTAAATCTTTCTTACACTTATACTTTGTTCACTTGAATGGATTTGGGAAAGAGTGATTGAATGAATTTGAGAGGATTTGAAGGTAAATTTTTTGTTCTTTATTTGAGTGGATTTGAAGGTAAGTGAGAGTGAATTTGGAAGTAAATTTTGTTTAATCTGTCACATCAATCAAATCCTACACTAATTATCAGAAACTTTACTTTCAAATCTGCTCTCACTTACCTCGAAACTCACTCATATAAACAAGAAAAAATTTATCTTCAAATCCTCTCAAATTCATTCAATCACTCTCTCCCAAATCCATTCAAGTGAACAAAGCTTTAGGTTTTCTTCACTTGGAGGAGATGATTTAGAGGAGAGTGAGTGGATGAATTCGAGGATAAATTTTTTCTTGTTTATTTGAATAGATTTGGAGATAAGTGAGAATGGATTTGGAAGTAAAGTTTGTAGGATTTGATTGATGTGATTGATAAAAAAAATTGTTTAATTGGTAGAAATTAAAGATTACCAAAATACCACTAGTTATTAAAGTAATATAAAATGATAATTGTTAAAGTTATATTTAGTTGTAAAAATGTTTATAAAGAAAAAAAATAAAAAATAATTTTTAAAATTTAAAAAATTGTAATTTAGTAAATTGAAATAATTTTTTAAAAATATAAGATTTTTTTAATAGAATTTAGTATCAAGCGGTATGATTTTTTTTTGGGTTAAATATGTTTTTAGTCCCTAAACTATTGGTCGTTTCTGGTTATCGTCCCTCTTTCAAAGTAAGGTACAATTTGGTCCTCATTCTTTTCGAAACGTTCGTTTTAGTCCTCGAAAACTAAACACTGTTTAAAAATTTGGTCCTCATTTAGCAACAAATGAGGACTAAAACCAAAATTCCGAGGACTAAAACGAACGTTTCGAAAAGAATGAGGACCAAATTGTACCTTACTTTGAAAGAGGGACGAAAACCAGAAACGGCCAATAGTTTAGGGACTAAAAACATATTTAACCCTTTTTTTTTTGTTATTGAAGTGAGATGTGATTTACAAATGAATTCATATTTTAAAAAACACCAATTATAAAAAAATTTAAGTTCTAAAGATATTTTATATCATAAATAACCTAATTTAATTTGTAAAAAATATTGGATTATTTTATTTTCTGTTATTATAAATGTTTAGTAAACGTTACCTTTTATTATAAATATTTATAAATTTTTATTATAATTTAAAAGACAATACCAACAAAAAGTAGTAAAATAAAAAAGTCTCCATACATATGACATGTATCTGAACTTTAAAAATCCTTTAAAATGAAACTGATTATAAATATATATATATTATTTTAAACAACAACCTTTATAAATAGCAAATATTTTAGATGCAAAGCATGAATCCTCAATTTACTATGGAACTTTGTTTCCAGTAACAGAATACAATAGAATGGAAGCGAATTCAAGATTGGAGAAATGAATACAAGTAAAAGGAATCGAATACAACTTCTTTCACTTTAGTGTGTTAAGGTGGAATTGAATACGGTCTCCTATAATCAAATAGACTCATTTATCAAATTATTATTATTTTTTTCAAATCTTCATTTTTCACAGGTATATGACATTGATATACTCATTCTCATACCAGTACACGTTTTTTTATTATTTCAAATATTAGTTAATTTTTACAAAAACTAAAAATAATATTATCATATATTTAATGTCAAAGTAATATACATATATTTTTTAATATTAAATATTAAAGAAAATATAATTGAATGAATACTAAAAACAACTAAATAAAGGTCAAATATTTATAAAAATAATAAAATGATTATATTAAGGATAAGTTACACAACTAATAAAAAAAATAATACAAAAGCATAAAAAGTGTTTTAATAATTTAAACGAGATATATTACTCCTACACGTATCTGGTCTTAATTAATGTAGAGATTTTTTATTACTCCTACACGTATCTGATTTGAATTAATGTAGAGATTTTTTTATCAAAATCAAAATAAATTGATTTGCAAGTTCATTTGTTTTTCCTAAATTCTACACTTTTTTGCTATTTACATATTAAACAAGTATCATACATGTCAAAATTTATTAACATATCAAAATTTATATATACAAAAAATAAAATTAACTCATCTATTAGCCATCACCAAAAGTTAGTAAGGTATTCATACTTTTCAAAATTAAAAACATATTTGAATATAAATAAATAAAAATATATAACAAAATAAAAAATATTAACAATTACAACCAACATAATCAATATTTTCATTAATTTCAACGAAACAATGTTATTGTTTAAAATTGTTCTACTTTTAACATCTGATTAAACGTAGTTGATGCAAATGGGTTTAAAAGTTCGTACCAATAATTTGTTAATTGCAATTTGTTGTTAATACATAATAGTTTAGTAACAAGAATTCATGAATGAATTGAAGAATGTGATATTAAGACAATCTTAACATACCATGACATGCAAAACACTTAGTATTATGATATCTTTAACATAAAATCTCAAAACATAGAGTGAGTTAGAATTTTATCATTAATTTTATCGCAATATAATATACTTAGTTCTGTCAATTTATTTCAACTATATGTTTCTAATCATGACATCAAGATAAATCTTTTAAACGAAATAATAAAAATCTTAATAGATTTTGATCATGATAGAAGTGGATTTTAAGCCTAATTCAACTCCACAAAATCAGATGAAGTTTACATCCACTTATAAACTATAAATTTACCTTATCTCTAGTCGATGTGAGACATCCAACGTATATGAATTTCTTTTATATATCACTCAAATGTGAATTAATCCAAAAATAAAAAAATAAAAATAAGTGCGCTGTATGAGTGAAGAGCAAAATATTTCATATTAACAAGGAAACTGAAACCTATCAGTGTCCAAACGCACAAAAACAGAAACGCTACATCAGGCGTTTCGTTTTTGTTTTATTTAATACAGAACTATAACTATAGACTCAAATTCTCTTCCAATCCTTCTTTATATGCTTCATCGAATGACCAAATAGTAGAGCAGAATCTTCTGTACTAATATTGGCTCCTAGATTTTTCCATTGCCCTTGGAGCTGCAACCAAATTCATAACATATTTTTAGTTAATCTTCCATTATTATTTCAACTATAAAAAAATTCATTACACATGTATAAAGCGTTTCTATAATTTATAGCAGTAATAGATATACCTAGTCCAATTGCCTCGGAGCCTTTCATTATCCTTAGTTTCTTACACGACTCAGTGAACATCCTGTAGTCACAAGTTGTCATTGCATTAGTCAATAAACACGATCAAACACAAACTTTATTATCTAAATTACGTATTTGTTATCTAAGTATAGAAAATGACGTGATTATTCAGTAATGAATCATAAGGAAAATGAAAAAGGGAACTTACTCCCAAGGCACATCACCCACTAGCATCCAATCTCCATCTTTATCTTCGTAAGTAAGAACATATTCAGAGCCATCAATAAGATCCTTGAAAGCTCTCTCACTCAATCCCTCTTTCCCACCAGAAACTCCACGTGAACCACATTGACCTGATTTCAGAAACACAAAGATAGAATTTCAAAGTGTAAGTTTAAGTCTCAGGTTGAGTAAAAATTAAAGGTGAAAACCTGTTAACTCACTGTATTAAGATTTTGAATAGAAAGTAACGTGAATCTCTTATATGGCTAAACTAAGGTTTTACGATGTTTAATCTCTTCACAAATTGAGAAACTATCTTATACTACATAGTTCACAACATTGAAGTGAGCATAATGAATGTGACAGATTGAGTAGCATACCAATTGTAAAGCAGCTGAACATTTTCTCAAGAGCAGAAGAAAGTTCAATATAGTTGCAGTGGGTTTTCAGATCAACCTTTCTGAGATAAGGTGCGCCATCCATGCTGACCTTAACATAAAGACAACCAGCTCTTGATTTCTCCTCAGCTTCAGTGTTGCTTTTTGCCAAATTATAGGCCATTCTGTTCTTCCGAAAAGACCGAATTGGTGGCCATCCCACAACTTGTGCTCTGCAACAAAAAGGTTTCATGTTTAACTTGTAACCCCACAGAACACAATATCAATAATCAAACATAAAAAAATAACCCCATAAAAGAAATCAACAGCCACTAGATTGAATTTTCACGAAAAACTTCATCTTTAACACAGATAAAAGTCGAACAAAACAAATAGTCAGTGGACTAATGCATTAACGAATGTTTTCAACAAAGTCTAACAGAAAGAACACAGTAAGTCTCACACCCCTTAAAATTTTAGTAACCTGTTATAAAACCTTAAGCTAGTTCAACCTCAAATTCCATTTATAAGGTGAGGTTTGCATTCATTTACATATTTTAAATTGGTGTTATCTTTGGTTCACATTAGACTTCCAATATAAATACTTGAAGAAGTTTAACAAAACGTTTATGTAAAGCATAAATATGTGAAGAAAACTTACTTTGCAGCAGGAGCAGGAGCATGTTCAATTGTTGCAGTTGCAGAAACCTGAGGCGGCTTCTCAGAGTGAGGAACCAAACCAACCTCTTTGCTGCAGAGTGCAGAGGTATTAGCCCCATTTCTCAAATCATCACCAGTTGCATCACTGGCAGAGAAAATCCATTTCCCAGAAGAGGAGGAGGAGGAACTAATGGTATCAGAGAAACCCCTCTTGAGGCTCTTGGAAGGAGTTGAGGAAGCAGAATAGCCACTACTCTGCAAATCCTTGCCAAAAAGAGAGATCCCTGCAGCTCCTGGTTTGTTCTCAGAAAACTCACAACCTGGCAGACCAAGCCTCAGCTCCGTCTCCTTGAAGTTCAGAAATGAACTGTTCTCATCCTCAGACGAAAGGTTGGACGAAACTGAAGAGGATATCTTATCACAGCTTTTCTCCATGTATGGAGTCTCTGCTAAGCCTATGTAATCATGTTCAAAGGGTGTAGACATCAAAGTTTTGCACAGCGAAAGGTTCCAAATTATGCAGCAGAAATCAAAAACAGTTAAACGAGTGAGTGAAGTGAGTATGCGTATGTCATGTGTTAAATTTATAAAGGTAGACGTATGAGAATGGAGCAAACAAATGAGTCACAAAGTAGAGTTTTAAACTAGAGTTATCGCATGGCATGGTACGATTTTTCCAGGAGCTTCTCTTCTTTGATGCAGTAAAGAATCTTCTTGGCCTTTATGATGCAACTTTTCTCTTTCCATAGCCATATTTTTTTCTCCTCCATTCATCACAATTTTACATATTAATGGAATGACTACGGTTAAGATTTTCATACACATTTACATTCATTTGATATAACACAGTATTATTTTTCTATTGAAACAGAGTAATGATAAGATAATACACGTTTACATTCATTTAACACCGATAAAAATAAAATAGTTGTAAAAAGACAGTTTTAGGATATTTTTTTACATGTTGGTAAACTTTTTCGGTCATATCATTAAAATAAAACATTTATAACTATCCCAATGATTAAAATCATAAAAAGTTCAAATTTTTACTGCTGAAAATTTGATTCTTTAATGGATTCAAAATCCTTGATTGATTAAAATGCAGTCGAGGTGCATGTTCGAAGCACACATATCACGACATTCCGATTCGAAAAGCATTGAGAATAATAGAATAAGTTTGTGAAAAAGAATAATAGAACAAATTTGTATGAGTCCAGACACGACACAAAGGAAAGAGATTGAAGAGAGGTGAATCTACATTCTTTAGTTGAATATGAAATGAGTCCCTAACTGGCAGACAATGTTCCGTATCTTAGCATGTGTGTCGTTCAGATATTTTCTCTCTCTTGTTTTTTCCAAAACTACGTGAAACAAACCATAGGTTTTATGCCATAGTGGCCATGGCTTGCCAATGTAAGACACCAACACATGGATTCTTGGAGCTGAGAACCACAAATTGTGTGTTTGCTACAAAAGGTAAGAGGGTATCAAGATCTGCTTCGGAAATTGTAATGTGAAATTATGTCTTGTCTGCACTACTTGTGTGTTTTGCTTTAGTAATTATAAATAAATTAATTATTGGTATGATAGATTATAAGTCTCAAACTACTGATAAAATATTTTAGGATATATAATAGACAGACAATTATGTGTTAATAACTTTTAATAACAACTTTTTCGCAATAGATCACTTGTCACTGTTTTATTGATTCGTTTGAATTTACTTTTAAGAAAAATATTTGAAACTAATCAATTACAAATCACTGCTTAAGCGTTATAAAAAAGTTGTCAAAAAAAATATTAAAATAATATTTTTCATAATAAACACAAACTTCATCTTCATATTGATTTTATGAAATTGAGTTAAATTTATTAAAGTTCACTTTTAATGTAATATTATAATTAAGTTAAAGTTTATCGTAAAAAAATTTGTTTTTTTAGACATATTATTTTCGGTGAGAAAAATGTGTTAAAAATGTTACTTCTTAATATAGTTTTTATATATATATATATATATATATATATATATATATATATATATATATATATGAGATAAATGTACAAGTTCTAAGAAATGATGCAAATTATCTTAAATTAATTCATTTTAAAAGATAACTATACAGTCTCAAAAATAAAAATTTTAAGTTAATAGAAAACTTGACGTGATACTCAACCATAAAAAAATTATTTTCTATTTTATCTCAAATATATTATATCTTCATTTCAGATTTTGATTTTTTTCCTTTTAATTGTTATTTTGTAATCAATTCTCAATTTCAATAAGTTTTAAGTTGTTCTTCCTTTTATTTCTCATTAAATTATAATATCTGTAATCTCAGACATAGATTCAATCTAAATTTAATACTATTATGAGATTTACAACCATTAAAAAATTGTATTAAAAATGAGTGAAAGAGAAAACGATCCACATATACTATGCAATTAATTTTAAAACAAAGCAATACATTTAGGTATACTTGAATTGTACACCATAATAAATTAAGACTTAATTTATTTATTAATCACTACTAATAATATTGATAAGTATTTCAAAATTATGTCCAAATTGATTTAATACTATTAAAATTTACAATCTCTGACCGTTTTTATATTTTATAACTAAAAGTTGCCGCTATAATAGGTTTTAAATTTAAAAATTATTTTGACAAAGAGTAATAAATTTATTTTATTAAATGATTTATTTTTTATTGAAATTTTAAAAAAAATCATTAAATCACAATCATTAATATGAATTGTTTCGACCGAATCTGTGAGAACCCTGTTAAAACACACAAGCTTGTCGCAGACCGGGCGGACGATCACGAACGGTAAAGGCTGGCGGACAAGCAATGAAGCTGCTATGGACCGGGCGGACGCTCGCTCTCCAGCTGAAGCGGATCGAGCGGCTCTATCTCCAGGGGCTCTGGGCGCTGCTGAAAACCGGACGGACGCAGAACAAGTGGCTTTGGCGCTTGGTGGCACTTGGAGCTGACGAGAGCTGGACGGACGCTGCTGAATCCCACGACCTGAAGAAGGCCGGACCAAAACTGGACGGACGACCACCTCTCTGCCGAGGGTTGGACGCGTTGTGCGTGTGGCGGACGGTATGGCGACAGACTGACGCTACTCCGCGCTTCGGATTGGAGGCTGGACGGGTCTCTCCTTCTGTGCTCCCGGTGGTGGTCCTCCTGCTCCAGGACGGGTGGTCGGGTACTTGTCAAAGGCACTCCGACGCTCAAGTCAGTAATATGACAGAGTAGTTTGTGATGCATGTATGTATTGCATAGTAAGGAAAGTTGGTCCAGAACTCATACCTGGAACCTTTATTTATACTGATTGTAATGGGTTTTTACCTTTAGTGGGCCGGATAACGACCCTTTTACATTTAGTGGGCCTGATAACGGTCTAGTTGCGCCTTAGTGGATCATTAGCATTTAACCGTGTAGTTAACCAAGCGCGGGTCGGTTGGAAAGGATGGTCGGCCAGGGATGTCAACCTGGGTGGGCGGCCAGCTGGCTCTGCTGTACTGGACGCTCAGTTTTGATTGCCATCTTGGGCGGACGTTTGGTTCATGAATGGCTGGACGCTCGATCCTGATTGCCATCTTGGGCGGACGTTCGGTCCATTCATGAACCGAACGTTCTTGGAGGGTCACTCGGTTTATGACTGGGGAGTACCGGTCGCTACATGTTAGCCGCTCGCTCGGTCCATGTCAGGAGGACCTGTCGGTACATGAATTAAAAAATTAAAGAATATAATTTAATTATTATTAATAGTGAAATGGAAACGTATTAAAATAAAAAGAAATAGCTGGATTCGACTCATCAGTTGACTATTGATGCACTGATATCATCATCGAGTTAATAAGTAGTTTGATTTTTATAACATTAATTAAAACACAACTAATACTGTCTTGTCACACACACACACACA